TGTCCAAGGACAAATATCCGAGCATATTTTCGCCCCAAAAGGAGGCTATTGTGTTTATTATTCTTCAAATATTTTTCGCTACGCGCGCAGTTTTGAAAATTGGGGAATATTCTCAGATATTCCCCAGTTTTAGCTGGGGAATATTCGGTCACGTGACGCGTTAAGATCAATCTCGCGCGAGCGAAAATATTTGATGCATTATAAGATTATTTATCTGAAGGAAACAAGGAATATCTCTAATATTAACGGGAACTTTGACGCAAAATTTAAGGAAACAACAAAATCTATTACTAGAAATGAAAGGAGAAAAAGCAGAGTTTAAGAGATTAGAACTGCTATTTTTATCCACCTTGGTGGTCTTTTCTAATATGCAAACCACTGTTAATTAAAGTGTTAAGATGAAATCCGACAGGAAATCGGGTAATTTCCGTTTTAAGTGGACAAAAACCTAGTACCAGAATAATTTTAGGTATTTTACAGACCTTTTTGTATTTTCTTAAAGCTAAAGACATAAATAGTTGCCTGAAATAACACCAAAAACAATTTCCCAGGGGAACTCGAGGAAATAAATTTCAAAGTTCAGAGAAATTGTGCAAACACAGGTAAAATTTAAACATCAGTTTCATTTCACCAGTACTTCCGAGTGTTTCAAGCGAACTTCAGAAATTGTTTTCGACGTTTGGTGTTGTTAGAAATGATTTCTTTTGAGAAGATATTTAAAACAGTCGCAAAGAAGTTTTCAATACGATGTAAATAATCTTGGTACAAAGTTTTTGTCCACTTGTTTCTCGAACTTCTGACGGATTCTTTCTTAATTGTTACCTCAGGCATTGTTGAGGACACGATTGTAATTGTTTGTGAAACTTGTGGAAAGCCTTGTCGCCATGTTTAACGGCTTCACTTTCATACTTCTCCCCTGCCCAGCCTTTGACATCACCACGAGAATCCACCGATTCCACAAATTGAAGTCCTTCTCGCCTCTCATATTCAGCTAACAATATCTTCTCGTGTTCTGTCATCTGTTTAGAGATTCCGCTGGTATTTGGAGCCTCAATTACACTGATGTAAAGAGGCGCAAAATTAGGGACATCGCTCAGGGACATTTCCTTGAGTTGCTCGCTCGTGCTAACTTGTACAACTTTGTTGTAATCTACCTTGTCTGGTTTGTCTTCGGCAAGTTTTAATTTTCCAGTGAGTTCTCCCAGTTCAGATGACATATCATCATGACTGCTAAAACAGACAAAAATATATAATTAAACCTTCTTCAAACCGACAATGACAACAAAATAATGCTTTTTGTGCAAAAATACAACGTTACAGCATAACAAAAAAGATGTGCATTACAAAAATTCCGCGGGGATACAAAATTGTCCAAGGAAGATCTTCAGAATTAATAAAAAAAAAGTACTAAAAACACCACGGAGAAGGGTTGAAGTTACTTCCATCCTGAAAAGACTTATTTCACTAGCGTATATGCCTAAGCATGAGCCGACATATGCAGATGTATTTTTGAAGATGTTGATGATAAGCACTCTTTGATGGAAATTTCCCAGACAAAAGGTGCTAATTATCACCATGTCACTGCTAGTTTTACCCAGTGTGCCCAATCAATGAAAATTGATCACTGGAAGGCAATCAATATATTAATCAATTTTAATTAATCAATTGTTATCAATTGCCTCAATTAATCGATGAATATTGATACTCACAATAATTCCTCCTAATAACATTGCTATCGATTTTCATTGATCTTAATTGGCAAGTCTTGAAAGAGGATACTTTTTATTAATTTTCTCCTTTCGTGTCAAAATGGGTACATGCATAACTCTTGGAATAACTGAAAGAGGTTGATCTCTACATAATGCATGGATGTCATACTGATGGTGGGAGTCCCGGGGACCCACCCCCACCCCCCTACCCCTTATTTTGGGTAAAAAAAGAAGAAATAACAGAAGGAAGGAAAGCTGGCAGGGCAAGCAAAACAAAAC